ATAATTACCAATAATTCGTAAAACATTTTTTAAAAATAGTATGATTTAGCTTTGCCAAATGTATTACAATAAAATTATATAGAAATCGATTTAAGATTAAACCTTCAGTTTATATGGCAGTTTGAATAGTTAACGCTATTTTACATATATATGCACTTAAAAGATACTGAATAAGTATAAACGGAACATCAGTACAAGGGGTACAAGTGTATCGACTATTAGCTTTTGCAAGCGAATAATTGCCGAGAAATGGAGATTTATTTAAATAACTGCATAATCATTGATAGTTACTAGATCGACATACATGAAAGGTTATCGTTAATTAAATAGAAATGACAATTTTCATGTTACTAGTTGCGTACTAATTTCCAGACCACCTTTGAGGTATAATGCATCGCGCGTTTTTTTTACATGGTGTCCCCAGGAGGCCTAGTCCATGTTAACGAAGAAATTTTGTTTAAAAAAAATAATATAGAAAAGAGATTTTTTTACTATTTCAAAGTTTTTTTTTATTATTTGTTCTCTATTTCGACTATAATTTATAATCGTTCTCAAGAATTTGAAGAACTTTAGTTTTTTATATTAATATACATTAGTATTTTCGACAAAAAGATTTTTTGCATATAAATGATAAAGAAATATATTATCACACATAAATAATTGGAAAATAGAATGGTAAAAAAGAAGAAAGAAAACAACCTGCAGAAGATTTTCCGAAAATACTCCAAATCCTGCCTAAAATCCTACCACAACAAGGGCCAATGACAAAACGACAACAAACAATGCTCAGGAATAGAGGAATATCACCACCAATAAGAGAACACATTTGTTCTTGCCGTTATTAGATATATATATGATACATTATTTTTTATTGTTTATATGTAGAAATTGCTTTGTTTAAAATATTAATGTATATTAACACAAAAAATTATAAATTGATCAATATCCCGTGAATAACCATAAAAAATAGCAAAAGTTTCTACGTAGTAAATATTAATATTTACATTTTTATACATATTTATTAACACATGTTTATTAATAACTATCTTAAAATTAATTCACTTAAACTATTTTGAACAATAATAAATAAATTATAAATAGATGTTATTAAGCCTGTATAAGGGCAAATTTGTAATATAAGGTCATATAACAATTTATGCCTTAGTCGATTTCACTTTCTCTACCATCCAAAGGAATTGCTTACGAAGTAATATAAGCAGAATAAAGTTCAGCAATTCAATTCGATGAAGTCTGCAGGCCCCAATAAACCAACTCAATAAATTATGGTAAAGTAAACTGAAATTTCTTAGGGTTTTTTTGCAATGCACTTATGTTAAAAGTTTTCAAATTTATTTATTTTTTTATTATACATCTTATAAAATGTTCCCAATGGTAATATCAAATTTACCTAATTTACCATACTCGAAATTTTGGTAAATACCAACATTCGCTGCCATACTGACATAATTTATCATTTTCCTCAATTTACCATCAATTACTTGAACTCGCACATGGTCAATTACATACAATTATCTTATTTTAGCTAATACTAATATAACATACATATAACTATTATTATACCTGATTAAAACAAAAAATTGAAATTGGTTGCATTTGCTTCAAATGTTCCTAATATAAGATCAAAAAATATTCATATTCTTTCAAATAAAAGTACATATGTTTATAAATATACATTTATACTCATACATATATATATGTAGGTCAGTAAACTTCCAAACAAGTAGGGATGATTGTCTTATTTGCATTATGAAGTGATATTAAATGCATGCAATTTTTACGTGCTGCTTGCTGGTGCCAAGCATTAATTGCAAAAACAAATAATTACACCAAAAACTAATTTCACTCTTTTCTTGTACTGCCTGCCTTCGTAAACAAGCAAATCTGTTTTTTGTTTTCAGTTTTGTTCTTCATTCATCAATAGTAAAATTTTTAGAAAGAACAAGCACAAGCGCGGCCGATCTAGCAGCAGCGCAGAAAGAAGAAATATCTTCACTCCGCCCTCCCGTGCCTGTTGCTGAAAATTTTAAAATTGAGTCATTGTGACTCTATAATATTTTTACTCAATGGCATAACTCAATTTTCAAATTAATGCTTTATGTTCTCAATGAGAGAAAAATGTTAAAAAACTCATAAAAATTTGCAAAGTGAAAAGTGAAAAGTGTTGGTGCAACAGGGCCCAGATCTTGTAAGGATTGTAAATACGGTTTTAGTAATTAATAAATAAAATAAAATTTGATTTATTCAACACAATTATTTTCTGAATTTTTTATATATAAACCTGGCTAGATTTAAATTTACTTTGTGACAATAACTCTAAATAATAGTGGCCTAAATAACTTCAAAATAAGGGTATCATTAGCACTGGTGGCATGTAAAATATTGAATTTTTGCCTTAACGATATTATTTGTTTCAAAAATATTAGTACTACTCTTTGCACCAGATGCTTTTAATAATTTGTTTGTAAACTACATTGAATATTTTTTTGGTCTACAGCATGTCTTGAGTCGAGAATCACTGCTCTAATTTATGCAATGTCTGCAAACATTTTGTTGTTAAAGCCGAGATAAGTGCTTTGATTTATTGAATTCTACTTGATCTCGTTTTCTTACGAACGATGAAACTTTCTCTAAAGTTTTTAGTGGCAATGGTTAGTTGATGCTGAGTATGTCCGAGAAAAAGTCAATAATCCCCTAGATTTTTATTGTACTGTGGCATGTTACGAAATTTTTTATTTAGAAAACGCAACTCAGGAGGTTTTGAAAAAAAATTTAAAACAAAACATTTTTTATATAAATTAAAATCATCTACAACTGTAATAAAATATATAGTAATAAGACCAAAATTTTAATAATAAAAAAAAAATTAATTATGCGTTTCTCACAAAAAATTAGCAAATACAAAAAACGTAAATGTTATATTTAGTTTTTAACTTTTAATTGTGAAGATCCAAGAAATAATTCAATTACAAATCAATAATCATTTTATAATATTCGGTGTATAAATATATAAAAGTAATAATTAATAATAATGATAATTTATGTTATTTACTGAAATTATTTCATAATTACCTTTGGATATTCTTCTAGGAATCTCTTTATCAATATGTTAAGACAAATATTTAATTAAATTAATTCGAAAATGTGTGCAATGAAAAAAATCCCAAAAAACTTCCCATTTGGTTTAGCATCAACTTAGCCTAACTCGCACACGTTCTATGTTTATAATAATAATTAATCAGAGTTATACGGCGTTTACATTGGCCGAAAATGGCTCATTTTGGTCAAAAATCGAAAATGAGTATCGAATGGCTCATTCTTGCATATAAAATTTCAAGCACAAAAATGAGCAATTTTCTCACATTCTGTATGAATGACGTTCGAATGCATTCCACATACGTTCCAAATGCAAAGGAATCCATTGAACATACCCTAAATGAAAGCTCTTCATGGCATTTTGACAGTTTGAAAAAGCTGTTTTTAACATATTTACAAAAAAAGGTAAACAAATGTTTGGTGGTTGCATTTTCTTGAAAACGATGCACTGCTTTTTAGAACTTTTACTTCCCAAAAAGTAATTAATCGAAGTTAAAAATATGTTTTAAGTTTCTAATGTAAGGTTTGAAGGCATATTTAACCTTCATGCAACATTTTTTTGGCCTGTGCCAACATGCAACTTGAAAAATCAGCTGTTGAAATGAGAACAAATGAAATAGAACGAATGTAAACACTTTCAAATGGCTCATTCAAAATGAGCCATTTTCGGCCAATGTAAACGCCATATTACTTTAGGTTTCTTGTAATTAAATAAAAAAAGTAATAAAATAAATTAGAAATTGGGTACTAAAAAGGCTAACAGCAGGTCGATTCCACTAATCGCCATAGCTAAAACTCCAATCTCTTCGCTAAAATTCTTAAATAAGCGATTCGTTTATTTTAGGAGAATAAGCGATCGTGTGATTCTGCTAACATTATCTCTTCGCTAAACTTATCCGTTGATGTGGATAATGCTGAAATGCATGGAAATGTCAAAATAAAAACAAAAATTGTAAACAAATATCAGCTGTTGGAATTATAATTTAAATTTGAAATTTAAAAGCCGATACTGTAGCAAAAAAGTATTAAGCCATTGTGAAATTTTCATTAAAATTAAATTAATATAACATTGGTGTGTGGATTAATTATATAATGGACTATTTAATAAGAAAGAAATTTTTTTCTGGTGATAGGAGAGATTCACGGAATCATTTACGTTTAAAAGAAAATGTTTGCGAAATTTTACAGACCCCTTCACTATATCTGATGAGCGTTTTATTGAAATATTTTGTCTTTCGAAATATTCATGTAAGGTTTTATGGCGGAAATAACTCCGTACATGGTACCGAAAAGTTGATTAGATGGAATTTCAAGAGACATACGCGTACTTGTTGCTTTGCGGTTTTTGCTCAAGGTAGGTTGATGTTTAATAAGCGTCTATGGTAAGAGAATTGTTGTTTTTTTGTCACATTTAACAGCTGCCGAGGGCACCTATTGTATATTTCAGTGCACAGTATATTGAAAATAAATCCAGTTCCTTATTTTGAAACAACTCGTTTCGTTTCATAAATCAAGAAATAATTTCCGGGCTCCATGATACATTCATATAGACACAAAGAATAATGTTTTTGAAAAAAAAATTATTTGGTTACATTTTATAAAATATGTATCCAAAGATAAAACAATTTAGTCATTTTAAACAAAAATATTAAAGCGAACCCAATAACATGCATAATATTTAGGGTTGTTTTAAAGGAATTGAAAAATTACTTATTTCTTACTGTGTTCACAATTATAATTATCAATTGTAATATCGATTTACAATATGTGTGTAGGGAACATGAAACTTTCTGCTGTTCATATACATATGTGTAAACGTATTTTATTAGCGTTTAGAAATACCCGTACCATCTGGCATTCTTCTAAACCTGCACTTTGTGAACGGTGTGGCAACGATTGAATTGGTGCTTAAATGACGTTTCGCTTAAGTGTGAGCTGAAAACGTAGTAACAGTTCTATGCTTGCAAAACTAGTAGTTTTCGTTTTTATATTAAGTGTAATTTTGGGAGGTAATTATTTTAGTTTTACTTTATAAAAAAAGTTAAACTAATAAAATTTGTTTTTAGACTACTCATTAATGTACTTTGATACTAAAAGCAAGGCTGTGACAGTCGTAAAATTTGTGCTCTATTTTTAATATAACATTTTTGCAAAATTGGAAACTTCACATCTCAAAAGTGCAGCAGCATTAAAGAAATGAGCGGAGGTAATATATTTACTGAAGAAAATGGCATGCGACGTGATAAAGTAGTCATATTGGATGCTGGAGCTCAATACGGAAAAGTTATTGATCGCAGAGTGCGTGAGCTTTTAATTGAAACAGATTTACTTCCTTTAAATACGTCAGCGGCAGAGATACGTGCTAAAGGGTATCGAGCTATTATTATATCTGGTGGACCAAATTCAGTATATTTAGATGATGCACCGTTTTATGACACAGGAATTTTTAAACTGAAAATACCTATACTTGGAATTTGTTATGGTATGCAATTAATTAATAAGGAATTTGGTGGTGCAGTTCAAAAAAAGGATGTTCGAGAAGATGGCCAGCAAACCATAGAAATTGAAACAAGCTGTCCCATTTTTAAAGGGCTACAACGAACACAGTCTGTATTGTTAACTCATGGTGATAGTGTAGAACGCGTTGGTACAGGTCTTAAAGTAGGTGGATTGTCATCGAATCGTATCATCACTGCCATTTATAATGAAGTTCAACGTGTATATGGACTTCAGTTTCATCCAGAAGTGGATTTGACCACAAATGGCAAACACATGCTGTCGAATTTCTTATATGATATATGTGGCCTGAAACCAACTTACACACTAGGTAGCCGAAAAGACGAAGCTATACAATATATTAAAGAGCGCGTTGGGAATAATAGAGTTCTAGTTTTGGTAAGCGGCGGTGTAGACTCTACTGTATGCGCAGCTTTATTACGCCAAGCCGTACATCCCAGTCAGATTATTGCATTACATGTTGATAATGGATTTATGCGAAAAGAAGAAAGTGAAAAGGTAGCTAAATCGCTGCGTGATATAGGTATAGATGTTATAGTGCGTAAAGAAGTATATACTTTCGCTAAAGGTACTACACGAATAAAACGCCCCGAACAATTTTCTACTGTTGAAACACCAATGCTATGTGAAACGGTTAATCCTGAAGATAAACGTAAAATAATTGGGGATATTTTTGTTAAAGTTGTGAATAAATTACTTTCTGAAATGCAATTGAAACCAGAAGAAGTTATGCTAGCTCAAGGCACTCTTAGACCAGATTTGATTGAATCTGCATCACATCTAGTAAGTACAAATGCAGAAACGATTAAAACGCACCATAATGACACAGACCTAATTAGAGAATTACGAAGAGCCGGTCGTGTTATTGAACCATTGGCAGACTTTCATAAAGATGAAGTTAGAGATTTAGGTTACGATCTGCGCCTTCCAGCAGAGTTAATTGAAAGACAGCCTTTCCCTGGACCAGGATTAGCAATACGCATTCTTTGTGCTAAAGAAGCTTTTGCTGGAAAAGACTACTCAGAAACACAAGTCATTGTAAAAGTAATTGTGGACTATAAACAAAAATTAAACGGAAAGCATGCTTTAATAAATCGTGTAAATGGAGTTACTACTGAAGAGGAACAAAAAGAACTTATTCGAATATCATCCTCTTCTCAATTGCATGCGAGCGTTTTGCCAATACGTTCCGTAGGCGTGCAAGGGGATAAACGCACTTATAGCTATGTTGTTGGTCTCTCTTCTGCCCATGAACCAAACTGGAGTGATTTGATTTTTTTGGCTAAGATTATACCACGTATTTTACATAATGTTAATCGCGTTTGTTACATATTCGGTGAACCAGTAATACATCCAATCTCTGACATTACATTAACAACTTTAACTCAGTCCCCAATAAAAACTTTACGTCAAGCTGACTGGGTTATCAATGAGGTTATAATGCAAGCTGGTCTAAACAGAAAAATTTCGCAAATGCCAATTATTCTTGTACCAATTCAGTTTGATAGAGATTGTACAGATCGCACGCCATCTTGTAGTAGATCTCTAGTTTTACGACCATTTATAACGCGGGATTTCATGACTGGTGTGCCAGCTATACCTGGTTCGCTTCACATGCCAATGCCAGTTCTCACCAAGATATTATATGAATTGAAAAAGGTTCCAGGCATATCGAGAGTACTTTACGATTTAACATCAAAGCCTCCTGGTACCACAGAGTGGGAATAATTATATCAAACTTTTACTTTATAATTGAATTAAAACCACGTAATCTGGATTAAATGCCTGCGTAATCATCTAATTTTAAGTAATTGTATTGTAAAACCTGCATAAAAAGTTATGAACATAATAAATGTGATCAACAAACATTCAAATATTTTTATTTCATTACAAATATATATACAGTATATTTAGTATTATTTGTTTTTATATATGTTAGAGGAAATGGTTGTTCAAAATGTTAACACGTAGTTCAATTTAGACAAATTAAATATGAATAAAATTTTAATTATTTGTTTCACCCCGTCTAAGTACAGTCAAATTAAAGTACTTTGAAGTTTTAATTTTATGTTTATTAATTTTATTTTAATTCTATGTAGATGACGCATGAAATTTATCGTTGATTTTTTTTTTGTCGATTGAATTTCTTGAATAGTGAAGACAGAAAACGGAAGAGAAAATAATAACAAACATAAACACTAGATTTTCACTTAAGAGGAAAACAACACAGAATCCTTTAACAACAGATTTTGATTTATTTTTTACTTTTTTCCTATAATACAAATGACTTATGCCCTATTTCCCATCCTGTTCTATACTTTCCTAACCTCTTCCATTTTTTCTTTGTAAAAAAAAAATTCTATTATATTTTTAATCCTGAAAAAAATTTTCTAAAATCTTTTTTTGTAAAAAATCCTTTTCTGTGATTGTTTTTATTTTAGGACTGACGTGCGGGACGTGCGTTTTCGAATCTGATTTTGGGTTTGTACTTAATTGTAATTTCAAAAAATCTGGACTGTTTCGAGTACGGAATTTGGGAGGCCTAAAAGCACATTTTGGTTTAGGTAAATTAACAAAATAAGAAAAAAATATTTTAGATGTATATAAAGTTAAAATAAACTAACAAGCGGTTTTATAAATACTAGCTATTAGTTGTATTTTGTATTAGTATCTATTTTGTAATCAATAAAATATGTGGTTCGAAGGATTCTATGTATGTTGAAATCTGTTGTACTGTAAATTAAATAAAAAGTTTAAGGACACATATTACGAATTTCTAAAGTACTTACATTTTATTATTTTGATTGCTAAAAGGTTTCAGTCTGGGCGATGAACTTGGATTCGCGGAGTCTCTTGGAAATTTGGAGGGTGGTAAACGCCGTGCTATAAATTTTAAAAATGGACCACCTAATTTAGTTGGAGTACTCCCAGCATCGCAACAAACTGTAAGTCAATATTATAGATCTTAAAATAAATCATCTATTCTCGTACTTTTTCTTTTTAATGGCGCACTAAGTATTCTCAAAATTCGAAATCAGAGAAACGTATTATTTCGCGTTCGACAGGCACCCAATCGTTTACTGTACCATTTTATGCACAAACTGTTAAAAAGCCAGCACCTGTGTCTTTAATGACTGAAGCGAAGCCTTTACCACTAGGTGTACCTGCCTTTCGCCCTATACCGAAGTCTGCAGTAAAAGTACCGATAGCTCAAAGGCGCTCAAGCATAGCTGTAGATACTCAAAATCCACGCGTTAGCATTAATAACAAATTAGTTGAGAGTGCTCCTATGTTGGCGGTAATCATTTTTATTTGTTTAAATATAAAAATAGAAATTTCAACCACTTCTTTGTTATAAAGAACGAAAATCGTACTTACCATGTTATGAACCCTGTAGTTGCTGAGTCCGCAACTAGTATTCTACAATCTAAGCAAACAAGTGCTTTGACAGTGCCCGTATTTCAAGCAATGCCTAACTCCATATCTAGAATATATTCACAAAAAAGCGAAGGATATAATCAAGAGCACAAACATCCGAATTACTTACAATTTGAGGAACCAAAATTCGATTTAAAAGATGTAACTGTTGAAGAATTGGCAGCTACAGCTAATGTTAGTGTTGAGACCATTAAACATGCAATCTTTGTGCGTGAACAGCAAATGAAGGCTGAACACCGTGCATTATTGGCTTCTAAACTGCGTCAGGAATTTTACCGCACATCAACATCAACATCAACGACAAGCACAACTACACCGAAACCAAATGTTAATGCAATAGGCAGTCCTTCAATACAAAAGCCGCAATTAAATCCAAATGTCGCTTATGAAAATAAAGCATCGCAGGTAAATGCATTGTAATATTTTGAGAAAAAATTTTTATCTTTGTTGGACTGGCTTTTGCTTATCATTACAGGTTATGAATGCACCGAAGGAATATTATCCAGTCGGTTATGACAAAAATTTTGATGATAACTTCAAATCAAAAGTTGATTTACCACCAACAACTTTCATATGTAGCAAACAAAAGCACTTCCCTGGCTTGTATGCAGACACTGACCTTGGTTGTATGGTAAATATAGTTTTGGGTTATATAAATACTTGCTTAGTCTGTTTCGAATGCTTAACTCTTATTTTTAAACTTTAATCATTACAGGTTTTTCATGTTTGTGCGCTTACTGACGACGGCCTAGTTCGAAAGTCTTTTCTGTGCCCGGAAAATACTTTATTCGACCAAACGATACTAAAGTGCAATTGGTGGTTCTATGTCGATTGTAAATCAAGCAGGAGCGTCTATGACTCAAATATCCCAATTTCAAAAAGTTATCAATTGATGAAATCCCTTACGTATTTTTCAAAATACAACAATCAGGCAGAAAATAATAACGAGAGTGCAATCTTGAATATGCAGGTTTTGCAAGACACAATGGCTGCATCTGAACGCAAAATTGATGAAAACAGCAAACAGAAACTAACAACCACAACGGATGCTGCGTTGATTATTGAAGAACTTAAAAATTCGAGAGAACAAACAAATACAAAATAGGCACAAATGCAAAAGAAATTTAGTGTAGATTTATATTAGCGATGTAATTTTAGAAGAACAACTTTCTACAAATAAAAAGTTGTCCGAGTTGTCAAAGTAGTCATCTTAAAATGAACCTAATATTGTTAAAAGATAATTTTAAATTTAAATTTAACTCAAGACTAATACCAATAGTTTTGGCTTACTTTTAATATAAGTTATGAATTTGTTATTTTTATTATAAAACTAATTTGGTTTAAAATATTTATTTATTGTTTTCTTCTTTCCTTTCGGATAATAAAAAAATTAATATGTATCAAATATATCAAATATTTTATATTTAAATATTGTATTAAATATTAGGCTAACACATTGATCGATAGCAACCGCAAACCATTAACCACACGGTAGTCAAGGTGTGTGGTTGTTTAAATTTAATCTAGTATCAACCGTATTGTATTCATAGTGTAATGTTAAAATGGATTAAAATAGATCATATATAATATTGTTGATTGGTAAAAAAAGATTAACTATACAAACATCGTAACCGAGATTAGCGATAAAAAGCGATGATAATAGGCTTGCAATGGTGTTATAAATTAGTTCTACTTAAGCAAACAAAAAAAGGTCGAAATTATTCAAGATGAAAGGTGTTGTGTTTCACTATGACAGTTCTAGAGCATACATATTTTTATTAACCCGGCCTAAATTGAGAGATATTTTTTAAGTAAATTTGATACTTTCATTAAATAGCTATGACATTAAATCTTCATTCTTTATCATTCATTACTATTTCCTCAACATAATTTTACTGACAAAAAATTGACATCAAAGGAAAACGTCGACTTCAAAGGAAGTTTGCAAAATACAAAACCGCACAATTCTACAGTCAAAGAACAAAAGCTTTTTTCAAAAACGTAGTTAAGAATGAACAATATTTAACCTAAAGAAATTTTTCTATGAAAAATAACCTTCATTAAAAAAAATTTTTGATTAAAAACCCTGAATAATTTTTGGACATTATTGAAGGCAGATTGTTGAATATATCAAACGAGCAGTAACGCCAAGTTTAAAAAATCTCGCAGAAAGACTAAGCTATTCGCAGCAATTTAAAGTTAAACATAAAATTATTATTTTTTAAATGATCAAATAAATATAATTGCAAGCAGAACGACATCGTAACATAATAAATAAGCGTAAATATGTAAATTAGGTATGGTAGTTAGTTGCAAGTATCCTTCGCTGCATTAATCTTGGCTTCGTGTGCAGCAGCAGCAGCTTTATATGCAGCTGTTTTAGTGTTATTGAAATCGCCTCTAGCTTGACTTAATTGACGTAGCAGCTGTTCCACCCTCGATTTAGCGGCTTCCAATAATTGCGTTTTTTCAGCAAGTTCTGATTGGGCGCCTTGAGCGGCTTGCTCAGAGTTGCCAACATTTGCTTGTGCGGTTTTTACCGCTTTGGAAAGTGTTTTTAGTTGTGATTGTGCTTGTTGCGCAGCCTGCATTGCAGCATTTACATTACATTGAGCATTCTGTAGGGATGAACCCACCTCTTGAACAACTGCTTCAGCTTCCCGTACTTCTTGTTCTAACTGTTCTACAATTTGCTGCTTACCAGCTAACGCAGCTTCTGCTGCTTTCGCTGCTGCCATTGCCTTTTCAGCCAGTTGCGCCTTAACTTGATGGGCTGCAGCTTGACCAGCAGCTGCTTGTGCTTCAGAGGCAGCTTTGGCCTCTTGAGCAGCTTTTTGCGCTATATTTGTGGCTTTCATTTTAGAATTTCCACCACCCGGTCCACTATTGCATTTGTCTTCACAACCATTTCCATTGCCATTACCGTTTCCACCACCTTCACCACCACCGCTTTCGTAACCACTACCACCACTTTGTTGTGCTTCACCAGTAGAATAGTCTGAGAAGTATGCTGGATTGTCATAAATCATACGTTTCAAGTTATGTGTTCTATACTAAAGTGCGAATTAACTAATTAAATAAAAAGTTAGTTTTGATATTAATTTTCGTATTTACCCGGTGTCGCTTTATGCGACGGCAATAAACAGTTACATCTATCAAGAGAACACATGTCAAAATGATTACGGAAAAACGCATGTTATTGGTATAAAAATAAAATTTTAATGCTTTAATTTCAGATAAAATTTATTTCATTCAAAAATTTATTAATGTTTTCCTTTTAAGTCAATTCCGACTCGATTTTCTTAATTCTGTTTTCATTTGTTATATCTTTAATTTATGAGTTAAGTTTATGAGACTATTAAAATGTTATAAAAACGCAATAAAATAATTGTCGGGCCACTTAGCAAATTAGATATTGATTCTTGTTTACAATTGGCTTGAAATTCCATTTTTTGTTGTGATTGTCTTAATATAGTATAGTCAATTTAATAACAGAAATGTATTAGCAAACTAATAGATTGAGTTTTGAAAAACAACTTGAACTTTCATGGAACTGGCGAATATTCGGTAATAGATAACAAAAAGTATAGATATGAAAATTTTGAAAGAATATAGCTTTTGGACGCGTATCATACAGTTACAAACTATATGAGTAAAATTTTTTTTGTACCTTTGACCGACAGATACAAAACCAGTCATGGAACAGTACGCTATTCCGGTAATAATGAATAAAATACCATGAAGTAATCTATACCAATACCAAAATTGCTTAGGTTTGCTAACGTTGGAGTCCAAGCCTTGTGCAACAAAGCAAACGTTAGCACAAATAATGTGTGGCTCCCTTATTTAAATAGAAGTGAAGCAACCTGTCAAGTCTATAATCTTGACAATGTCTATAATAGTAAAAGCTGATGTCTCTGTCAAGTATACTGCTAGTAGCGGTATCTTCATCAAGCATCAATTTGGGTTCAGAGCTAAACATAGTACAACTGAACAAGTGCATTGAATTGTTTCATTCGTAAGAAACTCATTTGAAAATAAACAATACTGCACTTCCATATTTATAGATGTAGCCCAAGCTTTTGATAAAGTATGGCACGAAGGCTATTATACTTGCTGTATACAAGTGATATGCCAACTTCGGAAAACACTTTAACTACAACATTTGCTGACGAGACAGCAATACTAAGTGCACACAAAAATCCCGCAATAGCACAAAGCAAGCTTCAAAATCATATTCACCAACTCGAGCAATGGTTATCAGTATGGCGTATCAAAGTCAATGAACAAAAATGTACCCATATCACATTTGCTCTAAGACCAGGCAACTGTTCTAATATTACAATAAATGAACAAATAGTACCCTCGAGCGACTATGTGAAATATTTAGGGATACATCTAGATAGACGTTTAACCTGGAATAAACCTGGAATAAGTTCATTGCATTGGCTTATGGGCACGTCATCTAAACTATCACTTGAATACAAAATTCTGCTATACAAGTCGATAATAAAACCTATATGGATTTACGGAATTCAAATATGGGGAACAGCGATGCCATCAAATATTGAAAAACTGCAAGGGCTGAAATTAAAAATCCTAAGAATGATAACGGGTGCACCGTGGTTTATAAAAACGCCCACCTTCATAAAGATTTGGGCGTATCAACAGTAATTGAAGAAGCTGCTCGATGTAGCCGTCAGTACCTCTTAAAGTTAGAAGATCACCCTAATAAATCAGCTGCTACTGAACAAAGGCCATAAGCGTTTAAAAAGGACACCATTAACATCTGCTAACTTTCTAAATTTCTTATTTGATTTAAAATATTATAAATTTTATTTAATTGAATTGAATGTGATTTTTTGAATTAATTTTAATTTAATTTTTGTCTTAATTTTAATTTCATTTTAATTTCAATTTTAATTTCAATGTTAGTTTTCAATCTTATTTAATTATAAATAATTTAATGTCTTAGTAGTTTTTTCCAAAGCAATTGCCTAGGAAAAAAAATAAATTTAGTTTTAATAAATAATTTAATAAATGTTTATGAATAATTAAATCCAAAATATATATCTGAAGACTACTTATCAAATTGAAGTGCAAAGCCTAGTGTGAAACAGTTAGAAGTCAATTTAGCCGCAGTGCTATGGCAGCGAATGAGACTTAAATAGCAAAATATTTTGCACATTTAAATATAATTGCGTAAATAAAAAACACAGTGATGTATCACATGGACTGAAAATAACAGTTATTTCAAAAATTTTTAAGACAAAAGCAGCAATAAAAAGTTGTCGTAACTTATATTTAAGTATATAATTATCATAACTGTAAATAGCACGTGCTTTTAAAAGAAATTATTAAATCTTTATTGAAGATCCTTTGTAGCCTCTTTTAAACTACAAGTTGGTCTTGATCATATATCAAAATGGTAGAAGCATTGGTGCATGAAAGCAAATGAAACAATATCTACTCATGACACATTCACAATGAGAAGAGACCCCTGCCCCGAAATTAAACTTGATAATATATGTTAAGTTTAATCACACAGTGCAAAATATCTGGGGCTGCATTATATTTTTAACAAAAGAAAATCCCTTGGGATTCAATACCGAATATTTTAAAATATTTTGGCTACTAAGGCCGTGTGCGAGTTAGTATTTTCATATGATAATATTTTCATAATTGAAATTTAATGAATATATGAATATAGAAAATGACAATAAAAAATAAATTTATTTAAACGTTGTGTTTTATTTGTATTGAAAAAATTAATTATTGATATTTGAAAGCTTCCAACCGAAAAATTTTCTTTTGTTGTGATGAGCATTTGTAATACATTTTGTAAATATTTGTATTTTCTAAAATTTTTATTACTTTTATTTAATATTATAAACATTTATTTGATAAAATTTTATTATAGTGGCTGTTTCCAAAAAACTATGTGAATTTCTTTCATTGACTTAGCAATATTGTTTTGGTAATTTTTGACGTTTGCATAATTTTGTTTGCGTTCAACATATTTAACATATTTTGTAAATTTAGGAATTGTACGGCAGCCAAAATTTGAGATCGCTTCATGGTATGTAACAAATATTCAAATCTATCGGGTCCTTAAGGTAATTTCGGTAAAAGATGAAGTAAAATAGGTAGGCAGAAAATATCATGAATGAATATAAATTCATCCAACAATATTGCTTCGAATTTGATGTCTCCCTCAAAAATTATTACCAAAGTTGAAAAGAAAAACGCCGCTTCAGATGTTATAATAAAATCTTAATTTAAAAAAAAGAGTAACTGTCCACAGGGAGAACTGGCTAATGATCAAAAAAATTGTAAAATATCACAAAATTATTTGACAGAATACATATTAAATTTAAATTAAATAAAAAAAAATGTCTATATTTAGGAGGTTATTATTAATTATAAGAAAAATTTGTAGGATATTTTCAAATTCAAAAACGTACAAATTAAGTTGAATTAATTAGAATTATTCAACGTTTTAGTGATGCAGTTTCTTTTTAAAAGAAACAGAATTATCCATTAATATTTATATATAATTCTTCTTATAATTCTCTTATTTTTTATTTATTTTTGTATGTATTAGTGTGAAAGATATGCATAATTTTTAATTTAAGATTATTAGTGTTATTAAGAATGACTAGAATAGGGGTTTATATTGTAATAATTGCCGGTGATCCACAAATTCAATTTATACATTATTAAACAGATTACGTGTAGTACTTTATCTATTTCTTACGAGTTAAGTTTAAATTTAATTTAGTTTAATTTTTTTTTTTTGAATTGAAATATATAATATAATTTATTTCACAAAATATCAAAATTTTATATACTTTAATACTCTTTTATTTTCTATAGCATTTATTTGAAAGAGAATTGTTTAGCTGAATTTATTCGAACTCCTTCTGCGTACGGGTTTAATGCTGAATAAAAAAGAAGAGGATTTACTTTCATTTTTTAAACAGAATATTCAAGTATTCCGAGTATATTAAATATCCTCTAAATATACTATATTTATAAGAATTTAATTTTGTGTAATTTTTTAGGATGTAACTTATTTAGATTGATATTTTTTTCACTCAGTATTCATTGAATTTTTATTCATTTGAGTTCTTTACCTTGATTTTGATACGATAAATTAATATATTTGTAATAAATATGTTTACCACATTCATCAAATTTTTTATTATTTTAATTGGATTAAAAATTTATTTATTTCAATTTATTATTTATAGCATAGAATAATAGAATTATTAGATCCCATCTTATATTTGTAAGATATTTGCTTGATTGAAAATCATTAACTAGTACTTTTTTAATTTAGTAAATTATCTCGTCATATATAACTAATTGATCAATTAAAAAATATAAAAATTAAATAATTATTTAAGTTTAATCAACTATTTCATATGGTTGTTTAACGTGCCAAATTCCAATTCAAATTAATAAAATTACAGTTGATAATATGAATCAAAATAAAAATTGGTTGATTGGATAAAATTGTAGTCCTTAAAATTATCTTACATAAATCAAAGGTATTATTATTAAAATAGCAATATATAAAAATAAACCAATTTCTCATTCCTAGTTTGTTAGGAATTAAACGGCATTTATATCCGTAAATAATTTTCATTCTGATAAAATGAATATATATAAATAGAGACAGAGTTTACTAATTCATTAGCAGGAATAAAATTATCTGGGTCACCTTATACATAAGTAAGAATTTATTTAAAATCAATAATATGAAAAATTTGATTAAAATAAAAAATCCTGTAATATCTTTGAAAGTAAAATATGGGTGAAAAAATGGAAAGCTCCTTCGGGAACCGCCGTTAGGTCATGCGTCTGAAGGCGCCTTAGCAAGAGCTCATATCATTAGTCTGGTAACCATTCATTTTCTTGTGAAAGCATCTGTTTCCCCCGTCGAAGTTGAGCAGAAGCTTTCAATTCTCTCATCAGAGCGGAAAGAGTTCAATCCATCATCTGCCAGTTGTTAGCCGAACTAAGCATGAATGACGCCAAGTTGCCGGTCGATACTTGTTCTCTTAATTCTGTATCTAATTTCGCTCTAAAGTGTCCGAATTAGTTGTTAGCCGAACTAAGCATGAATGACGCCAAGTTGCCGATCGATACTTGTTCTCTTAATTCTGTATCTAATTTCGCTCTAAAGTGTCCGAATTTTGTAGAAGAGAACAACATATGTTCTGCGTTCTCTT